ACTCATCCCAAAGCATCTCAATTGTGTTGAGGTCGGGTGATTGTGGAGGCCTGGTCATCTGATGCAGCACTCCATCACTCTCATTCTTGGTCAAATAGCCCTTACACAGCCTGGAGGTGTGTTGGGTCATTGTCCTGTTGAAAAACAAATGATAGTCCCACTAAGCGCAAACCAGATGGGATGGTGTACTGCTGCAGAATGCTGTGGTAGCCATGATGGTTAAGTGTGCCTTGAATTCTAAATAAATCACAGACAGTGTCACCAGCAAAACACCCCCACACCATCACACCTCCACCTCCATGCTTCACGGTGGGAACCACACATGCGGAGATCATCCGTTCACCTACTCTGTGTCTAGGTGTTTTCACTTTGTCATTATGGAGTATTGTGTGTAGATGGGTGGTTTTATTTCTGATGTCCATCGTGGCAGTGGCAGATTAACTGGTTAGAGCTAAATAGGCTAATAACAGTAACGCCTTTTACAGCTAGCTAAGAAGCTAAGTAAACTATAATTGGTGGGGCATGATGCAGAGTTGAGTTAAGCAGCTTCAACTGTAAACTTGACCCAGTCCTTATAAATCATATAAATCTAAATCAAATATTCAGGTGGAGGTGTATCTTCTATTTCACGTAGGCTAGCACTTTATTCACTTAGCCTACCACAGATGAGCAGTAATTTTTCCTTGCTTTTTATGCAAGGAGTCATACCTAACCGTCCAGTGGCTTTCCATAGCAAACACACACACACAATCTGCGGCGCGCTCTTTCCATGGTGCTCATACAGCGCAGTGTACTCTTTGCTCCTCTCATGTCTGGTGGAAAAGCCACACTTTTGATGCCATCTGAGCCTGAGAATCTAGTCGAGTGGGTGGGTTCCCATGATTTGGAAATGTTCATGATTTGGACATGCTCCGTAGATCATCCTCTCAGGGTAGATGGTTCCAATTAAAATAAAATCCTAGCAGAAGAATAGAGGCCTCCAGATGTCTTCTCTGATTGGTTGGTTGAATAAGGTCTTCAGGCCTTTTGGTCCAGAAACAGATTGCTAAGGTTGTCCTAGTAGGAATCGACATATTTTACTCAGCTCATCTGACATTCAAGGGCACATCTGTGGTAGATTTGTCTCAAAGCTTCAGTACATGTCAGATAAGCGCGACACATATACCCATTAATCTATTACATAGCCTTACAATTAAAACATTTCTATTCACTTATGTCTGTCTATCTGTTCACTGCCCACATTTCTGCTGACGTTGAGAGACTAAATATTGAATGTGAGCGCTCTTTATTACATCCAAGTAGAAAATGATGATTCTCATAAAAGTGAAGGCTTTGCTGACAACCAAGGCCACAAAAAGAGAGCTTTGAACTTCATTACACAGCACAAATTGCCTATTTGAATAACAAAATAAGTAAAAGCCCATTAATAGGTAAGGCAGGTCACGCGTGATACAAGTCAGTATTCGACGTCCATCCATATCTGAGGACGTCGGGAGATGACGTGGAAACCGACCACTAGGGGTAACAGTGAGAGCTTTCGGTTTCGGTTTAGTTAGGGGGTTGTGGACGGGAATGGCAGATGGTCATAAGCATCTGGTTTGAGAGGTTGCATGTTTGAATCCAGCGATAGAAAGTAGTTTTTTATGTTTTTGATTTAAGCCTATCCCAAACCTTAACCCTTACCTTAATCATTCAAAGTTAATTCATAACAATAGAAATTAAGAGTTAATGGCTAAACTTAACTCTAACCTTAATTTTAATTTGTAAATGCCGAAACTTAACCTTAAACACTTCAGATTTGACGTTTGGAGCAACTTTGAAATTTGAAGTTTGAGAAACATGGATCAACGTCTAATTCTGCTGTGAGACTGTGAGAGCTGGTTGAATAGGCTCCCTGCTCCTAATGGCCAGGCTGCCATCTTACTGTGTAATGGTTATCCAGTGTGACTAAAGATATTCTCCTTAAATTATTTCCTGCTTGCGCTGACTGGTGACAATAGTCTTAAAGTGGCACTCCAGTCTCCTTTTCATCTCATTTAACACCTGATTTATTTAACAAAAGGCACATCTCAATAGGTGGTCCAGGTACAGTGAGGGAAAAAAGTATTTGATCCCCTGCTGATTTTGTACGTTTGCCCACTGACAAAGACATGATCAGTCTATAATTTCAATGGTAGGTTTATTTGAACAGTGAGAGACTAACAACAGACTAACAACAAAAGAATCCAGAAAAACACGTCAAAAAATGTTATAAATTGATTTGCATTTTAATGAGGGAAATAAGTATTTGACCCCTCTGCAAAACATGACTTAGTACTTGGTGGCAAAACCCTTGTTGGCAATCACAGAGGTCAGACGTTTCTTGTAGTTGGCCACCAGGTTTGCACACATCTCAGGAGGGATTTTGTCCCACTCCTCTTTGCAGATATTCTCCAAGTCATTAAGGTTTCAAGGCTGACGTTTGGCAACTCAAACCTTGAGCTCCCTCCACAGATTTTCTATGGGATTAAGGTCTGGAGACTGGCTAGGCCACTCCAGGACCTTAATGTGCTTCTTCTTCTTGAGCCACTCCTTTGTTGCCTTGGCCGTGTGTTTTGGGTCATTGTCATGCTGGAATACCCATCCACGACCCATTTTCAATGCCCTGGCTGAGGGAAGGAGGTTTTCACCCAAGATTTGACGGTACATGGCCCCGTCCATCGTCCCTTTGATGTGGTAAAGTTGTCCTGTCCCCTTAGCAGAAAAACACCCCAAAAGCATAATGTTTCCACCTCCATTTTTGACGGTGGGGATAGTGTTCTTGGGGTCATAGGCAGCATTCCTCCTCCTCCAAACACGGCGAGTTGAGTTGATGCCAAAGAGCTCGATTTTGGTCTCATCTGACCACAACACTTTCACCCAGTTCTCCTCTGAATCATTCCGATGTTCATTGGCAAACTTCAGACGGGCCTGTATATGTACTTTATTGAGCAGGGGGACCTTGCGGGCGCTGCATGATTTCAGTCCTTCACGGCGTAGTGTGTTACCAATTGTTTTCTTGGTGACTATGGTCCCAGCTGCCTTGAGATCATTGACAAGATCCTCCCGTGTAGTTCTGGACTGATTCCTCACCTTTCTCATGATCATTGCAACTCCACAAGGTGATATCTTGCATGGAGCCCCAGGCCGAGGGAGATTGACAGTTCTTTTGTGTTTCTTCCATTTGCGAATAATCGCACCAACTGTTGTCACCTTCTCACCAAGCTGCTTGGCGATGGTCTTGTAGCCCATTCCAGCCTTGTGTAGGTCTACAATCTTGTCCCTGACATCCTTGGAGAGCTCTTTGGTCTTGGCCATGGTGGAGCGTTTGGAATCTGATTGATTGATTGCTTCTGTGGACAGGTGTCTTTTATACAGGTAACAAGCTGAGATTAGGTGCACTCCCTTTAAGAGTGTGCTCCTAATCTCAGTTTGTTACCTGTATAATAGACACCTGGGAGCCAGAAATCTTTCTGATTGAGAGGGGTTCAAATGCTTATTTCCCTCATTAAAATGCAAATCAATTTATAACATTTATGACATGCGTTTTTCTGGATTTTTGTTGTTGTTATTCTGTCTCTCACTGTTCAAATAAACCTACCATTAAAATTATAGACTGGTCATTTCTTTGTCAGTGGGGAAACGTACAAAATCAGCTGGGGATCAAATACTTTTTTCCCTCACTGTATGTCATGACATACAGTGCCTTCAGAAAGTATTCACACCTCTTACTTTTCAATTTTTTTTGCATTACATCCTGAAGTTAAAATTGATTAAATTGAGATGTCTTTTCACTGGCCTATGCACAATACCCCATAATGTCAAAGTGGAATTATGTTTTTAGAAATGTTTATTAATTAAAAATGAAAAGCTGAAATGTCTTGAGTCAATAAGTATTCAACCCCTTTGTTCAGGGAAGCCTAAATAAATTCAGGAGTACATAAATAAGTTGCATAGACTCACTCTGTGTGCAATAATAGTGTTTAACATGATTTTGGAATGACTACCTCATCTCTGTACCCCACACATACAATTATCTGTAAGGTCGCTCAGTCGAGGAGTGAATTTCAAGCACTGATTCAACAACAAAGACCAGGGAGGTTTTCCAATGCCTCGCAAAGAAGGGCACCTATTGGTAGATGGGTAAAAAATAAAAAAACAGACATTGAATATCCCTTTCACACCCAGTCAGTAGTACAAAGATACAGGCGTCCTTCCTAACTCAGTTGCCTTAGAGGAAGTAAACCGCCTAGGGATTTCACCTAGAGGCCAATGTAAACAGTTACAGAGTTTAATGGCTGTGATAGGAGGAAACTGAGGATGGATCAACAACATTGTTGTTACTCCACAATACTAACATAAATTACTGTGAAAAGAAGGAAGACTGTACAGGAAAAAAATATTCCAAAACAAGCATCCTGTTTGCAGTAAGGCACTAAAGTAAAACTGCAAAAAAATGTGGCGAAGAAATTTGCTTTATGTTTGGGGCAAATCCAACACAACACATAACTGACACGCTTCATATTTTCAAGCATGGTGGTGGCTGCATCATGTTAGGAGTATGCTTGTCATAGTCAAGGACTAGGGAGTTTGTTTATGATTAAAATAAATGGAATAGAGCTAAGCACAGGCAAAGTCCTAGAGGAACCTGGTTCAGTCTGCTTTCCAATAGACACTGGGAGACAAAACTTTCCTCTTTTGTTCTCTATTGCTCCTCTATTGTTCCTCAAGCAAGGGGGAGGCTGATGACATCACAGATTCCCAACAGAACAACTCCTTGAATGCCCTTGCGGTTGTGCCTAAAAAACACTATTTTGCTCATAACGTATGTTTTTACCCTTTAGTGTGTAGTTTACTGTATTTATACTTGAAATATCGTTTTTCAACTGTAAAAGTAAAAAAATTGATGGAGGACATATTTAAGTCACTTTCTGTCCCACAGGGGGAAGGAGTATGGGCACGATGTGGACTTCCTCTTGACCATGCCTGAGATGGGAAAAGAAGAGGGGCTACTGCTTCATGTGATCGACAGACTTAGAGACCAGGTAAGTTTGTGTACTACTGCGTACAGAAAAATCGCAATGTAAGTATACAGGATATACAGTACAAAAAGACATATCAGTCTCCTCAGAGAAGGTTCCAGAGTGGTTCGTTACCCTTTACCAAGATGAATAGTAAAAAAAGCACAGCTCAGTGATGTTTGGATTATGGCAACCTCAACGGTTTTTAAGACATCGAGTGGAGTTTCGAGTTTCACTTCAGTAAAGGTTGGAGTGTGGAGTTAAGGTAAAGGTTGAATCTACCTGAGAGTTTGTTTTATTATAAAGGTCAATTCTACTTCCGTTGCATCCTTGAAATGTCAAGACATCAAAATAATAGTTGAAAAGAGAGTAAAACCCTTGATCGCAGCTTACTCAGTGCTGACAAAGAACAAATGTTTTGTCTCCCTCAAGGTATGGAAATTGTGATTCCTCCCCCCTCCAAACTAGTGCACACAAACTACTGCAACGACTGAGTATGATGTGCCTAACCTTCATACACATACGTTACCAGTCAAAAGTTTGGACACACCTACTCGTTCAATGGTTTTTCTTTATTTTTACTATTTTTTACATTGTAGAATAATAGTGAAGACATCAAAACTATGAAATAACACATGTGGAATCATGTAGTAAATAAAAAAGTGCTGAACAAATCAAAATATATTTTATATTTGAGATTCTTCAAATAGCCACCCTTTGTCTTGATTACAGCTTTGCACACTCTTGGCATTCTCTCAACCAGCTTCACCTGGAATGCTTTTCCAACAGTCTTGAAGGAGTTCCTACATATGCTGAGCACTTGTTGGCTGCTTTTCCTTCACTCTGCGGTCCGAGTCATTCCAAACCATCTCAATTGGGTTGAGGTCAGGGGATTGTGGAGGTCAGGTCATCTGATGCAGCACTCCATCACTCTCCTTCTTGGTAAAATAGCCCTTACACAGCTTGGAGGTGTGTTGGGACATTGTCCTGTTGAAAAATGATAGTCCCACCAAGCCCAAACCAGATGGGATGGCATATCACTGTAGAATGCTGTGGTAGCCATGCTGTTTAAGTGTGCCTTGAATTCTAAATAAATCACAGACAGTGTCACCAGCAAAGCACCCCCACACCAAAACACCTCCTCCTCCATGCTTTACGGTGGGAACGACACATGCGGAGATCATCCGTGTCTGTTACTTGAACTCTGTGAAGCATTTATTTGGGCTACAATTTCTGAGGCTAGTAACTCTAATGAACTTATCCTCTGCAGCAGAGGTAACTCTGGGTCTTCCATTCCTGTGGTGGTCCTCATGAGAGCCAGTTTCATCATAGCGCTTGATGTTTTTGCAACTGCACTTCAAGAACTCAAAGTTCTTGAAATGTTCCTGATTAACTGACCTTCATGTCTTAAAGTAATGATGGACTGTCGTTTCTCTTTGCTTATTTGAGCTGTTCTTGCCATAATATGGACTTGGTCTTTTACCAAATAGGGCTATCTTCTGTATACCCCCCCTACCTTGTCACAACTCAACTGATTGGCTCAAACGCATTAAGAAGGAAATAAATTCCACAAATTAACTTTTAACAAGGCACACCTGTTGATTGAAATGCATTCCAGGTGATTACCTCATGACGCTGGTTGAGAGAATGCCAAGAGTGTGCAAAGCTGTCATCAAGGCAAAGGGTGACTACTTTGAAGAACCTCAAATATAACATATATTTGGATTTGTTTAACACTTTTTTGGTTAGTACATGATTCCATATGTGTTATTTCATAGTTCTGATGTCTTCACTATTATTCTACAGTGTAGAAAATAGTACAAATAAATACAAACTCTTGAATGAGTACGTGTGTCCAATCTTTTTTGACTGGTACTGTAAGTGAAATCATACTTTTTCAGACACAGAATTTTCTGAAAAAGGATGAAAATAATTATCACAGGGTACAATAGACAAAGATTACCACGTCTGTCCCCTGTTTGTGGAGTTGAGGGTAATAAGAGCAGAGGAGGAGACGAGAGGACTGAGGGGAATTGGGTTAGTGCCCTACAGTGTGGAGAGGGAGAAAGTGATTGGAGGAGAGGATGATTACAGAGCCAAGTGCATATGAGTTGACACAAAAGGAGGCAATAAAATAAGTCACACCAATATCAAGGGCCTTGGTCAAGGAAAATGATTACAATTTGGATGGCAAAAGTGGCCTTGGTCTATACAGTTTACCTGGCTTTGAGAGAGAGAGAGAGAGAGAGAGAGAGAGAGAGAGAGAGAGAGAGAGAGAGATAGAGAGAGAGATAGAGAGAGAGAGAGATCTATCGAGCGATCTATTTCTCTAGACGCTATCTCTCTATATCTCTTCTTCTCTCTCGCTCTCGCTAGTCTCTATCTCTACTCTAGCGCTCTCTTCTTCTCTATCTCGCTCTCAGGAGCTAGAGAGGTGAGACAGTCATCCCTCTTTAATGGATGTCGTGTTGGAGAGGCTAAAAAGAGAGGAGTGTTTGATGGAGAGCAGGGCTGAGGGTCTTGCTGCAGGCCTCTCTTTATCATCGCTGCCTGTGTTTAAAAATACATCTCCCTCCCTCCTTCCACCCCCTCCATCCGCCCCCAGCCTTCATTTGCTTCAGAAGGCCATCCTGCTGATAATTACCTCCTATGCTAACGTGTGCCCTCTTACGCACACACACGCACACACACACACACACACACACACACACACAGACAGACAAACACACGCACAGGTCTACAGAATTTGCTGATGGTCACTGCTGGTTCTTCACACCCTTGGGTGAGGAGAAGAGGGGGGAGGGTGGGAAGGAACTTCCCCATAAGGGGTCCCTCGGCACGGCGGAAGAATGTGACGAGTCCACGGGGAAGGGAACACCAGAGACCGTGATTAAGTGGAGGTAGCAGAGGTTGACTCTAAGTCGTGTAACCTTGTCATCTGTGATCTGGTCCTCCGGGGGCCACATGTCTTTGACTCTTTGCCGAGGCCGAATATCATGGCAATTTTTTCCCTTTTAGCCTGGGGGAGGTCAAAATACATATATCTGGAAATGTCCTTGTGAAAAGGGGCTTCATCATTTTTTCTGCTGGTTATGAAAGTATAACTTGAGGGCACGAGCAAGTTCAGCCAGACTTTTCTATAGTAGACGGATGAGATTCAGCTATTTGCCCTGGTAGTAGCAACAGAGAACGTGAGAGAGCGATGCCTCATCCCCCATACACTAATCATCTGCTCTCACTGTCCGGGTGGTGGTGGTAGATTAATTGCCATTGTAATAAATGCTTGCTATTTTTCGCCTTCCTAACACAGAAGGCTACCACTAGCGGGTGAGCGAAGTTTGCTGCTTATGACGAAATGTGCATCTCTGGTGGGTTGATTTGCATCTAAAAGCGGGCACCCCACCAGTAAGGCCGGTGAGCAAGTCTGCTGTCGGCACACCAGAATCGTACTGGAGGGCCACCTGCCTGCTGCTTATTCGTTGCTAACTGGCTAAATTGAGTACTGATGTAATAATATTATGTGATTATAGATATATTGGACCTGTCGTAGTACCTTCGAAGCAACAGTAGTAGCCAGAGGGTGCATGAATTAGATATGTTATGGGATTTGAGTCACATAAACTGTAAACTGTGAGGTTAGGGCCTGTATGTACGGTAGGTTTGCCTTCTGTTTGAATAACCCATTTCATGAGAGACAATGACCAATCACCATCACAGTGAGCTGGGGTTATTGGAAAGTCAGAGATAGGGCTGTTGCGGTGACCGTATTACCGCCACACCAGCGGTCAGGAGTCATGAAGGCAGTCAAATTCCCTGTGACCGTTTAGTCACGGTAATTAGTCTTCTCCAAGCTCTGATGCTGCTGATGGTCATTAGTAGCCTACCAAACTTGCTAACTGCCTGATACTCAGCACTCTATTGTCCCTCTAATCACTCTGACATCAATACACATTTAATCGAAAATCTAATCAAACACTTCATGACAGTCCATGAGCTCATGTTGCGCAACATTTCTATTGGCTATGCAATTGTGCGAGAAAACAGAGTTATTGCCTCTATTAAAAATCCCATAAATTTTCTCTAGGCTAGTCCTACTATATTTCTTTCTTATCTTTCCTAATATTCAGCACATTGCTTGTCTTTACAACAGGAGTATAGCCTACCTGGCTGGCATGAAAATGAACCACAGGAAAAGAGTCCTCCATTCGCTATTTAAGTGCATAGATGAGACATATTTTTTCCCGCTGCCCTGTTTCGAGACAGGTGCATGATAACGGTCCATTCTAAATCAAAGCAAATTTCACATTTAGATGATTTAGTATATGTAAAGACAAGATTACATCAAGAATAGTCTGTTGGGTGACAATATTAGCCTATGACTTGTGAATGATATATTATCACTTGTAAATGATGCCCAGCATAAGGCAAGAAACAATGCCTTTTTCGAATCATAGTCACACACCTCATGTTGCCTAGCCCATAGGTCTATATGTTTTGATAAGGTTTGTATCACAACTGAAGTGGCCAAATAACTTCTTAAAATTAAGCACATTAATCTGCTTTACAAGGGGTGTAGAGCCTAACTGGCATACATAAGCAGCATGTGAGTTTCAAGTTTGGGGAAGATCGTTTTCACCATAAAAATGCACCTTTCTAATAAAAGCATTAGATGCATAATCGCATTTGCGGTCACTTTTGATAATGGTGTTTTCCCGCTAATGGAACATTCGCGCTCATAGCCTACTACCATGTGCGCATTGCTGCGCTTATAATGTGAAGAAATAGCCTAATAGTTTATCAACATTTAAAGCTAAACGTTCTGATCTGTTGCATCAGCCACATTGTGTAAAAATGGTTTTTTGATGTTCGTATTAATTTGGGATCTATCGCATCCCACAACTGTCCCAGACTATGTTTGGAATATTTATTTATTGCACAGAATAGAATAGGTCAACTTTTGTACTATGGGGGACAGTAGATTGACATAGGCTAGTGCTTTTGATGTTCGTTAGTCCTACTCATCTTGTTAGCTGACGAAAAGTAAATGTGGACAGTTCTTCCAATATCTTCAATATGCACCTCAGAATTGGATAACGACGCACGCAGTTGCGTCCCCGATGTATCTGTAGGCTGTGAGAAAGACCTGATCACGTGATGGAGAGTGAGAGGTGCTTCGGAGCGTGCAGCACTCAGGGAGAAGGGTACAACGTACCACTCCGGGCCAAGATCCAAGATAACGTAACAGTGTGGTCGTGTATTCTGTTATGTCCTCATGTAAATAGCCTGTTTCTTTGTTTTTTGGGGGGTAAATATTTTTCTATCTCACTTTCCATCCTTAAACTAAATATACTTTCCTGCAACCCGCCTCACCCAATGTGGAACGGATTCTATTCTTTCTTGATTTTTATCAAGAACCTACGGCTGAAACGAGCCAGCTAGCCAGCTAACTAGCTACTTGCTATTAGCCACCGTTAGCGGTCTTCACCACTGTCCGTGGCCTGCACTACCTACCATCCAGCTCTAGCCTGGTCAATTATCGGCCAGTCTGCACAGCGCGCTATTGACCCAGAGCATATTGGATTTTCTGCCGGAATAACTGAATCACTGGACCTTAACACCGGACCATCGCAATTAGCTAGCTGCAACCGAATGACTGTGGTGGGCTAATCACCAGTTAGCCTTGAGCTAGCCTCGAGCCAGGCCCATCTCCCGGCTATCTACCTCTCTGTCAACCGGACGGGACCTCCTAGTGTCGACACGGAGCCCCGCCGATCCATCACGACTGGTCTGCCGACGCAATCGTCTGATGTGGTTTCAACAGGCTTCCCGTTGCGACGACCACGAAGATCCATCTGCTAGCCCCGGCCCGCTAGCACGCGCAATCAACAGCCGTGCCTCCTGTTCGCCTGTGCTGTAGCAGCCTACGAACTGCTCCCGGACTTACCTATTGCGGTTCACTGGACCTTATGATCACTCAGCTACACAGCTAATGCCTGCTGGACTGTTCCTTTACACGGTACCCCATCCTGTTTATCTGTTTAGCCTCAGCCCAAACTTTCGTCGCCAATACCAGTTGTTGTCTTAGCCCTCTCGAATAACACCTGTGATTGCGTTATGCCTCTCTCCCTTGTCAATATGCCTAGCCTATTGCTGTTTGGGTTAGTTCTTATTATACCATTTCACTGTAGAGCCCCCAGTACCGCTCAACCAGCCTCAGAGAGCTCCTTTGTCCCACCCCCCATACACGTGGAGACTGGCTCAATTGGTACCTCCAGTGACAATATCGCTTTCATTGTTACCCAATGCTTAGGTGTACCTCCACTGTACTCATATCCTTCCATATCCTTGTCTGTACATAATGCCCTGAATCTATTCTACAAAGGCCGGAAATCTGCCCCTTTTATTCTCTGTACCCAACGCACTAGAAGACCAGTTCTTAAAGCCTTTAGCCGTATCCTTATTCTATTCCTCCTCTGTTCCTCTGGTGATGTAGAGGTTAACCCAGGCCCTGTAGCCCCCAGTATCACTCCTACCCCCCAGGCGCTATCATTTGTTGACTTCTGTAACCGTAAAAGCCTTGGTTTCTTGCATGTTAAAATCAGAAGCCTCCTCCCCAAGTTTTAGTTATTCACTGCGTTAGCACACTCTGATGTTCTAGCAGTGTCTGAATCTTGGCTTAGAAATGTCCATCCCGAACTACAACATTTTCCGTCTAGATAGAACTGCCAAAGGGGGTGGAGTTGCAATCTACTGTAGAGATAGTCTGCAGAGCTCTATCATACTATCCAGGTCTGTGCCCAAACAGTTTGAGCTTCTACTTCTAAAAATCCACCTTTCCAGAAATAAGTCTCTCACTGTTGCCGCTTGCTACAGACCCCCCTCAGCCCCCAATTGTGCCCTGGACACCATATGTGAACTGATTGCCCCCATCTATCCTCAGAGTTCGTACTGCTTGGTGACCTAAACTGGGATATGCTTAACACCCCGGCCGTCCTACAATCTAAACTAGATGCCCTCAATCTCACACAAATTATCAAGGAACCTACCAGGTACAACCCTAAATCCATAAACATGGGCACCCTCATAGATATCATCCTGACTAATTTATCCTCTAAATACACCTCAGCTGTCTTCACCCAGGATCTCAGCGATCACTGCCTCATTGCCTGCATCCGTAATGGGTCTGCGGTCAAACGACCACCCCTCATCACTGTCAAACGCTCTCTAAAACACTTCAGCGAGCAGGCCTTCCTAATTGACCTGGCCCGGGTATCCTGGATGGATATTGACCTCTTTCCGTCAGTAGAGGATGCCTGGATGTTCTTCAGAAGTGCTTTCCTCTCCATCTTAAATAAGCATGCCCCATTCAAAAAATTCTGAACTAAGAACAGATTTAGCCCCTGGTTCACCCCAGACTTGACTGTCCTTGACCAGCACAAAAACATCCTGTGGTGTACTGCATTAGCATCGAACAGGCCCCACGATATGCAACTTTTCAGGGAAGTTAAACTGTTACAGACCTATATCCGTCCTGCCCTGCCTTTCGAAAGTATTTGAATGCCAAGTTAACAAACATATCACCGACCATTTCGAATCCCACCGTACCTTCTCCGCTATGCAATCGGGTTTTCCAATCATGGGTGCACCTCAGCCACGCTCAAGTTCCTAAACGATATAATAACCGCGATCGATAAAAGACAGTACTGTGCAGCCGTCTTCATCGACCTGGCCGAGGCTTTTGACTCTGTCAATCACCACATTCTTATTGGCAGGCTAAATAGCCTTGGTTTCTCAAATGACTGCCTCGCCTGGTTCACCAACTACTTCTCAGATAGAGTTCAATGTGTCATATCAGAGGGCCTGTTGTCTGGACCTCTGGCAGTCTCTATGGGGGTGCCAAAGGTTTCAATTCTCGGGCCGACTCTATTCTCTGTGTATATCAATGATGTCGCTCTTGCTGCTGGTGACTCTCAGATCCACCTCTACGCAGACGACACCATTTTGTATACATCTGGCCCTTCATTGGACACTGTGTTAACAAACCTCCAAACGAGCTTCAATGCCATACAACACTCCTTCGGTGGCCTCCAACTGCTCTTAAACGCTAGTAAAACTAAATGCATGCTCTTCAATCGAACGCTGCTTGCACCCGCCCGCCCGACTAGAATCACTACTCTCGGCGGGTCTGACTTAGAATATGTGGACAACTACAAATACCTATGTGTCTGGTTAGACCGTAAACGCTCCATCCAGAATCACATTAAGCATCTCCAATCCAAAGTTAAATCTAGAATCGGCTTCCTATTTTGCAACAAAGCCTCCTTCACTCATGCTGCTAAACATGCCCTCGTAAAACTGACTATCCTACCGATCCTTGATGTCATTTACAAAATAGCTTCCAAAACTCTACTCAGCAAATTGGATGTAGTCTATCCTCAGTGCCATCCGTTTTGTCACCAAAGCCCCATATACTACCCACCATTGTGACCTGTACGCTCTCGTTGGCTGGCCCTCACTACATATTCGTCGCCAAACACACTGGCTCCAGGTCCTCTATAAATCACTTCTAGGCAAATCCCCGCCTTATCTTAGCTCATTGGTCACCATAGCAACACCCACCCGTAGTATGCATTCCAGGAGGTATATCTTACTGGTCATCCCCAAAGCCAACACCCCCTTTGGCCGCCATTCCTTCCATTTCTCTGCTGCAAATGACTGGAACGAACTGCAAAAATCTCTGAAGCTGAAGACATTTATCTCCCTCACTAACTTTAAGCATCAGTTGTCAGAGCAGCTTACCGATCACTGCACCTGTACACAGCCCATCTGTAATTAGCCCACCCAACTACCTCATCCCCATATTGTTATTTACATTGTTATTTATTTTGCTCATTTGCACCCCAGTATCTCTATTTGCACATCGTCTTCTGCACATCTATCACTCCAGCGTTAATACTAAATTGTAATTATTTTGCACTATAGCCTATTTATTGCCTTACCTCCATAACTTACTACATTTGCACACACTGTATATAGATTTTCTATTTTGTTATGGACTGTACGTTTTGTTTATTCCATATGTAACTCTGTGTTGTTGTTGTTTTTATCGCACTGCTTTGCTTTATCTTGGCCAGGTCGCAGTTGTAAATGAGAACTTGTTCTCAACTGGCTTACCTGGTTAAATAAAGGTTAAATAAAAATAACTAAATAAATAAAAGGGCACAACGGCCACTGGCCGCAAAAGGCATGGATTTTTTTAGGGTGCATTACGGCCACACAAAGGGGATGCCACCGTGAAATTTGAGGCATTATCAAGTGCTTGTCAAATAGTGAATGAGAGACTGGATAAAGTGTGTACCGCCTGCGCAAAAAACATAGCAGAGCTCATGCCTTTCAAGCACATTTTTTCAAATCAACATTAGAGTCGCATCATGCAGCCTTACAATGTATTAAAAAACATCAAAACATATAGCTCAACGTTTGTAGAACTAAAGTTACATTAACTAAATTAAGCGTATAGGAGTACCTGTTTCTTTTTTAACCGCTCAACACAGAATAGCCGCATGTGCACACTAACTCAAATCGTTTGGAGAAAATATCCTTTCTATTTTATTCAGCTTTGTTCAATTGTATTCTTCATACTATAAAATAATATAAAAGAATGCCACGGAATTGTAAGCAAATCTTGTCTGCTAAATGAACTAGTGTAGCCCACAGCCATTTGGCATAGCCAGATCAGGACCTAACAGAAGGACAACTCAGAGTATGCTATTCAGTTCTTCTGAAATAGACTACATTTTCTTCATATCATGCTTCTTTAGACCTGTATAAAATAAATAATGGATTTATTTGGAAGATGTAGGCTATATTACATGGATTTATTAGACTTTTTTAAATGTAGATTTTCCAAAGGTCTGCATCAGTTGCTTGTAGGCTATGTGTGGAAGCCAGGAGATGCTAAATTTGTTTATGCTAATTAACGTCAATTACCGTGAGACTGACAGTTATTTGCTTGACATTCACCAGTTGACGAAATTGCATGACCGCCACAGCCCTAGTCAGAGACAATTTTGGGGTTTAATAAAATCATAATCAAAACACATCTAAAAGCAGCCCAGTCGGCAGTGGATTATGCGCTGTCCCGCCATATTTAGAATGGTGAAGTTATGGCGTGGCATTTTATTTCCATGACAATTTCCAAAAGTCCACTAGGGGCAACACGAGTGCCTGTTACCATCTATTAGGCTTGCAATGAGCTAGCGCAATGGGCATGAGGTTGAGGATGGGCTTAAACCACAAGCTATGCTCCGAGCATCGCGTGTTCAATCCCAGAACAAGGCAATCATTTTGTTTTTCTGTTTTAACCCTATCCCAAACCTTAAACCTAACCTTATGTTTCCATTTGCTATGGAGGTTGTGTTGCCTAAAAGAGAACTGCAGCTGATTTTTATTTTTTACTGGCATTGGATAAACACACACACACAGACCCACACACGCACACACTCACACACACACACACACACACACACAGACAGATGCATGCACACACGCACATGTAAGCAATACACACATACACACACAACACACACATCCCTCCCCCCCACACAAACACACACACACAGACTTTAAAAAATGATTCTCTTTAATTTCAGCAATCAGACCGGACCGTTCCGGCAAAGCTCTGAATCAAAGGAAAACACAGTTCAAACGCAGCCTGCTAACACACGCTAATCTGGGGCTTGAAGGGAGGGTTTGAAGTCTCTCGCTCTGAGTCAGAGCGAATGTGACATTAGATCACAGCAGCCCGTGTCCCTGTCACCGCCGTGACTGCCGCTCTCTTTGTCCTCTGGGGCATGTGGCCATGGTGGCAGCCTGCTTGTCAGCTGTTTGTCACACACTTGAAAAGTATGAAACAAAATAAATAATCAAATAAGAAATAACGCTGACCTTCTAGATCACATTTGGCACAGAATTACATCACTTGCATTTGTGTTGTGTTGTTTTTTCTCTCTTAAAGGCACAGCTTAACTTCCTTCAAAGATTAACTCCCTGCAACACGTCCGCCTCTGTAATTCTCTCTGTAAACAGTTATGGTGAAATAAGCTTACTTTGGGATGCTTGCTGACATTACCTGTTGTGTAGGAGATGATTACAGAGCTGCGTTGCGCTAAACAGCCCTCAGCGCTGCCGAGACTGAAACTTTTAAGACTTCCCTTTTTTAATGGTGGATTTGTGCGTGTGGCCGAAGGCTTCATCAAATGAAGGGCACCCATGTTCAGACACTTAATAGACTGTAAAACTGTTGCTTACTCATTAATCCTTTGGCTCAAGGCATCCTTAGTGATTCAAGGCTAAAAGGAAGGAAATGTACAGCCAGAAAGGGACAGAAATATCCAGCGGTATATGAATAATTGGCCTACAGTAAGGTGTTTTAAAATATGCACATTTCTCTTGTGACAGGAAATTTCCTAAGCTATACATTTTTATGTAAGATTGTTTTTAATCAGTATTTAAGTCATATCACAGCTGCTTTTGCTTCATAATCTATGTGGAATGTAGGTAGTGAGGATGTAGGTAGTGTGAACAATCATGTATCTAGTACAGTGAGGGAGAAAAGTATTTGATCCCCTGCTGATTTTGTACGTTTGCCCACTGACAAAGAAATGATCAGTCTATAATTTTAATTGTAGGTTTATTTGAACAGTGAGAGACAGAAAAACAAAACAAAAATCCAGAAAAACGCATGCAAATTTTTTTATAAATTGATTTGCATTTTAATGAGGGAAATAAATATTTGACCCCCTCTCAATCAGAAAGATTTCTGGCTCCCAGGTGTCTTTTAAACAGGTAACGAGCTGAGATTAGGAGCACACTCTTAAAGTGAGTGCTCCTAATCTCAGTTTGATACCTGTATGAAAGACACCTGTCCACAGAAGCAATCAATCAATCAGATTCCAAACTCTCCACCATGGCCAAGACCAAAGAGCTCTCCAAGGATGTCAGGGACAAGATTGTAGACCTACACAAGGCTGGAATAGGCTACAAGACCATCGCCAAGCAGCTTGGTGAGAAGGTGACAACAGTTGGTGTGATTATTCGCAAATGGAATAAACACAAAAGAAGTGTCAATCTCCTTCAGCCTGGGGCTCCTTGCAAGATCTCACCTCGTGGAGTTGCAATGATCATGAGAACGGTGAGGAATCAGCCCAGAACTACACGGGAGGATCTTGTCAATGATCTCAAGGCAGCTGGGACCATAGTCACCAAGAAAACAATTGGTAACACACTATGCCGTGAAGGACTGAAATCCTGCAGCGCCCGCAAGGGCCCCTGCTCAAGAAAGCACATATACAGGGCCGTCTGAAGTTTGCCAATGAACATCTGAATGATTCAGAGGAGAACTGGGTGAAAGTGTTGTGGTCAGATGAGACCAAAATCGAGCTCTTTGGCATCAACTCAACTCGCCGTGTTTGGAGGAGGAGGAATGCTGCCTATGACCCCAAGAACACCATCCCCACCGTCAAACATGGAGGTGGAAACATTATGCTTTGGGGGACAGGACAACTTCACCGCATCAAAGGGACGATGGACGGGGCCATGAACCTTCCCTCAGCCAGGGCATTGAAAATGGGTCGTGGATGGGTATTCCAGCATGACAATGACCCAAAACACACGGCCAAGGCAACAAAGAAGTGGCTCAAGAAGAAGCACATTAAGGTCCTGGAGTGGCCTAGCCAGTCTCCAGACCTTAATCCCATAGAAAATCTGTGGAGGGAGCTGAAGGTTCAAACGTCAGCCTCAAACCTTAATGACTTGGAGAAGATCTGCAAAGAGGAGTGGGACAAAATCCCTCCTGAGATGTGTGCAAACCTGGTGGCCAACTACAAGAAACGTCTGACCTTTGTGATTCCCAACAAGGGTTTTGCCACCAAGTACTAAGTCATGTTTTGCAGAGGGGTCAAATACTTATTTCCCTCATTGAAATGCAAATCAATTTATAACATTTTTGACATGCGTTTTTCTGGATTTTTTTGTTGTTATTCTGTCTCTCACTGTTCAAATTAACCTACCATTAAAATTATAGACTGATCATGTCTTTGTCAGTGGGCAAACATACAAAATCAGCAGGGGATCAAATACTTTTTTCCCTCACTGTATGTGAGATGGTTGGTGGATTTTTATCTGTTCCTATCCTAGTGGCAAGTGAATGGTTGGTTCTTGGTTCTGACGATAAGATGATTGGCGCCTGAAGCTAATAAGGGGAGCTGAGGTGTAAGGGATGAGGGGCAGGGGACGAGGGACGAGGACAACTTCTCTGAGTGCAGTCCCCTCAGTCTCTCCAATCTCATCAGTTAATGACTCAGTCGTCATCTCCTCTCCCGATGCCCTCTGGGAAATGTTGTTTTCTTTTGATGAAGTGGGGCAACGCGGTCAAACAAGTCCGGAAAGTACTGGCTCAGTAGTGTTTGTCTCTTGATTGACCTCAGTATCTTGGTTGAACAGCAGGAGTGGTTAGAGCTGCACTTTCTCCTGCCATTATTGCTCTTTAAAGGGGCAATCAGCAGTTGCTACATCCAATAATATGTACCCATTGATTCTTAAAGATTATAGCTTATAAATGCCTCACGAGCTTAGTTCAACTGTCATTCCCCATCAGAACCCAAAATGTAAGTTTGTTTTACTCCAATATTTGTAAACAAAGAAAATGTAAACAAACATAGTTAAAACTATAATTTAGATTTCATGGATGGTCAATGGTTGAATTCATGGCTCTGCCTATGAATTTGAGAGTGATTAAATTTATCCAGCCCCATCCCTCAGCTTTTAACCGAACCACAGGCCGCTTTGTTATTGTTTCTACTGCTGATTGCCGTTTTAAGGAGAGCCTGGCAGATTTATGGGGTGCAAGAGGAACACAGCATCCCCACAATTACTGTGGGTGCTGGAATTAAATTGACAATTTGTAATGTTAATCTCCTTAGCGCTCCTGGACTGGGGAAGCTGCATAATCAGCCGGCCCAAAGCCCAGAGGAAATCAATCCTCTTCTTCTTCCTGCTACTGCCTACTCTCCACTATCTGCCCCCCCATCTAATCTTCTTATCTACTCAACTTCCTCTCTCCCTTTTTCTCTTATCCAGCCGTATCTCTCCCTATATATGTCTTTGTTCTCTTTCGTCGTCCCCCAACCACCTTTCTTTCTTTCTATATCTCCCACACTCTCTCTGTTTCTCTCTGTTTCTCTCTGTCTCTAGTATCTCTCACCCAACTCATTCTCTCTCTCTCTCTCTCTCTCTCTCTCTCTCTCTCTCTCTCTCTCTCTCTCTCTCTCTCTCTCTGTTACTTTCATTCTGCTTACCTGGGAGTGATTTTATTTTCCATGAAGTGGAACCGTGTGCCAGTGAATCAGACTGGCCCCCCATTGTTCGGGATCTTGAAGGTTGTTATTTAGTTGGGATCTCACAGTTGGCTTATTTAATGCAGTGGCAGACCACAAACTGGTGGCAATTTCAAACATCTGTTTCTAATGGTTCCAGATGTTTCATGTTACTTGGCTTACCTAACCGTCCTGTGATTAAACTTGCTTGATTTTCAGGCAACTTTTACTTCTACTGTGAGGCTACAGTGAGGGAAAAAAGTATTTGATCCCCTGCTGATTTTGTACATTTGCCCACTGACAAAGAAATGATCAGTCTATAATTTTAATGGTAGGTTTATTTGAACAGTGAGAGACAGAATAACAACAAAAACATCCAGAAAAACACATGTCAAAAATGTTATAAATTGATTTGCATTTTAATGAGGGAAATAAGTATTTGACCCCCTCTCAATCAGAAAGATTTCTGGCTCCCAGGTGTCTTTTATACAGGTAACGAGCTGAGATTAGGAGCACACTCTTAAAGGGAGTGCTCCTAATCTCAGTTTGTTACCTGTATAAAAGACACCTGTCCACAGAAGCAATCAATCAATCAGATTCCAAACTCTCCACCATGGCCAAGACCAAAGAGCTCTCCAAGGATGTCAGGGACAAGATTGTAGACCTAAACAAGGCTGGAATGGGCTACAAGACCATCGCCAAGCAGCTTGGTGAGAAGGTGACAACAGTGTGTGTGATTATTCGCAAATGGAAGAAACACAAAAGTACTGTCAATCTCCCTCGGCCTGGGGCTCCATGCAAGATCTCACCTCGTGGAGTTGCAATGATCATGAGAACGGTGAGCAATCAGCCCAGAATTACACGGGAGGATCTTGTCAATGATCTCAAGGCAGCTGGGACCATAGTCACCAAGAAAACAATTGGTAACACACTACGCCGTGAAGGACTGAAATCCTGCAGCGCACGCAAGGTCCCCCTGCTCAAGAAAGCACATATACAGGCCCGTCTGAAGTTTGCCAATGAACATCTGAATGATTCAGAGGAGAACTGGGTGAAAGTGTTGTGGTCAGATGAGACCAAAATCGAGCTCTTTGGCATCAACTCAACTCGCCGTGTTTGGAGGAGGAGGAATGCTGCCTATGACCCCAAGAACACCATCCCCACCGTCAAACATGGAGGTGGAAACATTTTGCTTTGGGGGTGTTTATCTGCTAAGGGGAAAGGACAACTCCACCGCATCAAAGGGACAATGGACGGGGCCATGTACCATCAAATCTTGGGTGAGAACCTCCTTCCCTCAGCCAGGGCATTGAAAATGGGTCGTGGATGGGTATTCCAGCATGACAATGACCCAAAACACACAGCCAAGGCAACAAAGGAGTGGCTCAAGAAGAAGCACATTAAGGTCCTGGAGTGGCCTAGCCAGTCTCCAGACCTTAATCCCATAGGAAATCTGTGGAGGGAGCTGAAGGTTCGAGTTGCCAAACGTCAGCCTCGAAACCTTAATGACTTGGAGAAGATCTGCAAAGAGGAGTGGGACAAAATCCCTCCTGAGATATGTGCAAACCTGGTGGCCAACTACAAGAAACGTCTGACCTCTGTGATTGCCAACAAGGGTTTTGCCACCAAATACTAAGTCATGTTTTGCAGAGGGGTCAAATACTTATTTCCCTCATTAAAATGCGAATCAATTTATAACATTTTTGACATGCGTCTTTCTGGATTTTTTTGTTGTTATTCTGTCGCTCACTGTTCAAATAAACCTACCATTAAAATTATAGACTGATCATGTCTTTGTCAGTGGGCAAACTTACAAAATCAGCATGGGATCAAATACTTTTTTCCCTCACTGTATATAGAAATGTGCAAATACACAACTCAATATTCATAATAAAATACATCAGGCACTGAAGTACAGTAGCAGCATAAACCAATCCCATGACATCTACAAAGTCAATATCTATATTACATTTATTATGTCAATATTTATTTTATTAGGTAACAGTGGTGACAGTGACTCTATGTCCACAATCATTAATATTATCTCCTCACAAGGGCATTCTGCTGTACTGTGAGCACCAGGGCTCCACCTTTGACTTGAGCAAGCTGCCTAGTCGCAGGTTCGAGACCATGGACCACTTCGAGAAGTGCTTCCTGATCCTGAGGCTGGAGGAGGGACGGGTGGAGGGGGGATGGAGGGCTGCAGAAGGACCCAGGGGAGAGCAGGGGCTGGAGGGCCGTACGGGTGGATCTGGTGGCCCCACCTGTTGACCGCTATGCCTTTGCCCTCCTGGGCTGGACCGGCTCCAGGGTAAGCATGGATCAAATTAATGTGAAATGAGTGTGGATGCCAAGACATCTAACTGTTCCACATTCATTCCTCTACTGACTAAAACCATAAAAAAACAAGCTGGTGGAGATTTCCTAATTCAATCTTGTTCTGAGGGCAACGATTCACATTTGTTTCTGCTCTCGAGGCAGAGCTGCTCTTAGGACACGAATAAGGACAAATTCAATTTGGCAAAAACAAACGATCCAATTCCACATAGCGCTTGACAGAGTAGTCAATAAACCAAAAAGAAAACATTGATGATGAGAAATACAGACATAGCCATGGGAAGTAGGGGCGCTGAGGGTGCTGCAGCACCACCTGAAACATCTGAATTAAAAACAAATAGAAATGTTTAAAAAGTAATAATAAAAATGCAATAACAATTCACAAAAGTAGTGTACTGTTCCTTTTCTAGTCCTGTATTAGTGGACTGATATAGCCGTCTGTAGCGGCTATAAAAATTGCAGCACCCCCACCCCCAAACATCTTCCCCCAGCTATGAATGAATACATAGCTAAACACTAACAAGAAAGCTACTATAGGAACACAACAGTGATGGTAGAGTTATCCCAGAAACTGATCTGATATGGCAGATGTCTTACTGTTGGGGAATACAGCAACCCCTAGGGTGGCAGAAAAGGGGGATAAATTCAATGAAAAAGGGTAAGAAGAGATATGACTTTTGATTATGTTCTTCCACAGCAGTTTGAGAGAGATCTGAGGAGGTTTGCCAGGAAGGAGAAGGGGATGCGTCTTGACAACCACGCCCTGTATGACAAAACCAAGGTACTGTGTCTTCCCTCAGATTGAGTGCAACTGATAATACAAGGTGCAACCATTTGTTTTAGATCAGTCCTCCGCACACAGTGCGTGTTTCTGAATCTGAGTGGTCAATTACAGCAATGCCGTTGTCCTCAAAGGTTATTGGAGGGATTAGGCTTGGGTGTTAGAATGCGTGGGCTGGGAATACACAGACACATTAACTTAAATTATTTGATGCCTCCTCTGAGTGAGCAGAAACTCGATATTGGCGTGAGGACAAACATTTTTTATTACAGCTCTGCTTGCTGTGAGGGGGCGTGATGCGACACACACACATGCGCACTTACATACGGAGGCACGCACACACAAAAAAACACACGCACCAAACACGCGAGCGTACAAATGCACACACAGACAGATGCAATACACACACATTCTAAAATACACACTCTAAAACAAGAAGCAGTAACAACACATCAGCTTTGCAGGTATAAGTGAATTAAATCTTTCTAACTGTTTCAATATATCATTTAGGGGCTTGTTAGGTGAAGGTAATTTCACTGGGAAGCACAAGGTTTATTTACACATTTCCAAATGAATTAAATTGCATCTCAGTTTCAGCCAACAGATTGATCATATATCCATTTACATCTCATTAGACTTCAAATCACATTAACCCCTCACTTGCCCACACAGCAAGACCTTATTACATTCAGTTTAATGACAATTTCCCGTTTGTTTGGATACAAGATGTAATTAGTCCTTTTCTCACAGAGGGTTACTACTATTGCTCTGTTACTACTGCACTATAAGCTACAGACTATGGGGTGAAGTTGGGGTAGATACATTTTGAATAAGTGTGCTTCATTTTTCAACCACTTAAAGGGAAACTTCAAAATATTTCAACTTCATATTCATCATCTCCAGCACCACCCCAACATCAACATATGTGAAAATTGTGTATTTCAATTTTTTGTAGTAAAAAAGATAGAGGAAGATAAGTGTTTTCAATGACATCATCAACCAATTAGCAGACAATTAGAAGGCAATTAGTAGGCGATGCCTACTCATGGTTGGTTAAAATCACATGATGCACACCGTTGACGTCATTGGAAACACTTATCTTTCTCTATATTTTTTACTACAAAGCATAGAAACGCATCATTTTCACATATGTTGATGTTGGGGTGGTGCTAGAGAAATAATAATAATAATAATATGCCATTTAGCAGACGCTTTTATCCAAAGCGACTTACAGTCGTGCGTGCATACATTTTTGTGTATGGGTGATCCCGGGGATCGAACCCACTACCTTGGCGTTACAAGCGCCGTGCTCTACCAGCTGAGCTACAGAGGACCACAAGAATATGAAGTTTAAAATTTTTCACATTTCCCTTTAAGGGGCATCCTAAAGCTCACCCTAAAATCCCTCTGAACAAATATAACATAAGACAGTGTGTCACATGAAAAACATAAATATGTTTATGACAGTCTCAGCTGACAGGTTATGCATACACTTAGCCCTGCTAAAAGCATGGGATCCTGCAGCAATGCATCTTGGCTCATGTACATTTACAGGGCGGGGGGGAAGGGGGGGGGGGGGGGGGGGGGGGGGGCATGGGGACAGGCATCTTGAGGAGTGAGCGGAGCGGGACAGGGGCGCCAGGAATGTCGCTGACCTGTCACCACAACGTCCCCAGAACCCCCTCCCTGAGGAACAGGGGTCAGGACATGGAGAGAGCAGGGTGGCAGCTTTATGACACATATTGTACAGACGCTGCCTTCTCAGATGTTGTTTATTCAAACACAAGGGCAGAGGGAAGCACACGGGGTGTGCAGTGAACTGTGTGCTGGGAGGATATGAGTGATCCGATCACATACACTTACACTCAATACAGCTGCGGTAGATCTGGGATCTGGTAGGATGGAGAGTATGGTTGAGTTTTCGAGTTTAATGAGGAAAGTGTTGTGAACGTTTTGATAATTGAGATGTTTAATGTATCTGCATGCACACATGTATGTGCACGTAGGTATGTACTGTATATACACACATGCACACGCGCACGCGCACGCACACACACACACATACACACACACGCACACACAATCACACACACACACACACACACACACACACACACACCTCACTTATTTAGGCTCACTTTGGCACAGACAGCAGTTTCACTGCTAGTTTCAAGGTCGGCAGACCGCTTAAAAGGGTATAGGTTCTGACGGAATCATTCAACAGTGTTTTTCAGCTCTCCGCTCCACATTTCAGCCATAATTAAGGTAATGAAGATCAATTAACTGTCTAAGTCACCGGGCTGCCTCCGACTCCACAGATCATTGACTATTCCTTCTGTTCTTCTGTTCGCTCTAGGCAGGGAGGAGTGGTCCCTCTCTGTCCGGCCCTCGTCACTATTGCAAAGCCCTCATTAATTGGATGAACGTATGGCCGCCACCGCTCAGATAATGGCACTTTTATCTTTGTGGCCGTCCTAATTGACCAATCTTTTCCCAGTGAGTCTGTGCTCTGCATCTGACCGGTGGCAGGACAAACTGGGAGATATGGGAATGGGCTGATTAGGAGGGAGGGGGGCTTTTGGAGGGAGGGGGGTTACTCGTCGCCACCTGACTATTGAAGCCCAAGCACGGTCATTTAGAGGACTTTTATCTTGTCATGTGCTTCAAAGTGCTCTCGCTGGATGGATGCACGTGACGACTCTCTCTGCCTCACTGTAATATGTAATATGCTTTTAAAAAATATGGCTAAACTCACACCAATGATCCCCTCCCAATTAAGGAAGGAGTCCAGGGGAATAGCCTTGTCATAAGGCAGTAGCAATACCTTGCAGTTGGACTTACTATACAGATCAACATAGTACTACCGCAGCTGTATTTAAAGTGTACGTTAGCCTAGTCTGTGTTCTATGGGAGCGGGGAGTTGGGGTGAGCGTCTGTCCTCTGCTGTTAGGCTGAAGGTGTGGGATAATTAATATGTGTTGTGGGCTTGATGAATGAGGACAGGTGGAGGATTTCATCAGCCCCAGACTTACTGACTCCCTCCCCGAGCAGGAGGGCTCCGTGACCTGTCCAACACCTCCTAAACACAGCCCTCTACTGCACGGTGTACCCTTGAAATTCCCTGCATGTGGGAGTATGTGTGTGTGAGCTAGAGTGCGTATGTCTAAAGAAAAGTATGAGCATTTGCTGATAGAAATGCGTATGCAAATGTAATTATTTACTGTATGTGCTAGTGTGTAAGTATGAATGTGTGCTGTATAAGTCATATATGTTTGATTATTACAATATATCAGTATGTGAGTCTCTTTGTGTGTGTGTGTGTGCGTATGTGTGTTCATGCCTTCATACAGTGTGTGTGTGTGTGTGTGTGTGTGTGTGTGTGTGTGTGTGTGTGTGTGTGTGTGTATACACATTGTGTGTGCGTGTGTATGTATGTACTGTATGTATGTGCTGTCATACAGTGTGTGTGCGTGTGTGTGTGAAGAAGTATCTCACAGAGGGTAATTACTCAAAGCCAAGTATAACAGTGTGATTAATGATGTGGTGGTCAGGACGTTTTGGAGTCTGATATCCTGGCTCTAGCTGTAGCAGTGTCATGATATGAGAGGAGAAATGTATGTTCTATCCCCTCCTAGGAGTCTCACTATCTACCTCTCCTCTGAAAACAACAGGAACTGGAGGCCAAACTGTGCTTTTGAAATGTCATTCAGTTGGAAGGACAGTGATAAAACTAAGATGAACTAGGCTTTATCATAATATTTTAACACTATGAAACAATCACTGTTTTCAAGTGTGAAGCAGGGCAGCTTCTTGAGCTCAAAACCTGGTGTGCTGCATGTAAGGTTAGAAGTGGGTCTGAAACTCAGCGCTACATTTTGCCTTGCAAATATGCAGAGCTAGTATTTGAATGTACAATTTACACATCTAATAGACATTGCACAATGTAAAAAGAAAGTGTCTTGTGACCAAAATTCACCAATGCCGCCTCTATTGTGTCGTATCCCTACACATGCCAGACATTTAGAGGAAATTCTCAACACCACGATCCAATCTTATTCCCTCCCTGTTAAGTTCACATCTGTTGCAGTTTGTAACATTCAGTAAAAAAAATCCTCCGGAAACACTCTAGTTTACAGTGAGTTGTGTGTAGAGCTGCCTGTCATATTTCAGACGCAGCATGTGGAGTGTTCACAACTCGTCTTCCTCCCCCTCCCTCCATTCTCCCTCCATTCTCCCTCCATTCTCAGAGCAGCAAATGTGTAGACAATACCGGGGCAATTGCACTGGGCTTTGGGGAGCGGCGTTTTTTGAATGCTCCCTAGCTGGTGCTGAAAGGCACTGTTTGCAGAGAGAATAAAAACTGCCTGGAAAGAGGTCATTCTCAGAAAGGAGAGTAAAGGGAGGAGAGGATTGGGAGGAAATGCTCTGGGTTTAATGTTGCGGCTCATGTGAAAGCGGCCCTCAGTGGGTCACACAGATGTGAAAGACAAACATACAGACAGGTGAACAGACAAAGTAGGGTGGAGTGTCTTTACGCATCAGGAGAGGCAGTTTGAGATTTTGAGCGTTCACATTTTTATAATCTCTTGTGGACAGACTACGTAAACATAAATGGTACGATAGATCTGTAAAGAGACTTTGGGGTGCAACAGATAATGAGCAGCAGTAGCTCCTGTGCCTTGGTTTTTTATCACCGGTTATTTGGACGTATTAGGATTGGGTGAAGGTGGTGCTTAAACTGGCGGGCTGGATTTTCTGGTGTGTGCAGTAGTCAATGTAATGCTGGGAAAAACTTGACGGATCCCTCCTCCTACAGCATTTAAAATAAACAAACATGTTACAAAAGCAAGTTTGCCAACAAACTTTGCCAACAACCAAAGTGCTGGAAGTGTGTCGATTTTGTCGATCTACTTTAGATGCAAATCCCCACTTGCTCCTCCATTATTTAATAATGGGCATACCGCCAATACCATAGCATCCTCCGGCCATTGTTCTGGGAC